TTTAGAATGGGGGTCTCTTCCCCTGACCTTGGCCAAGGCAGGTGGTGGAAGCTCTTTTTCAGGGACTGAAGTCAAAACCAAACTGCAGTTCTGTTCTCTTAAGATCTCTCTGGATGTCGGTAGGCAGTGAGACAGAGCTCTGCCCTCCCCACTCAGTATCCAGAGGGTTGTTATGGCAACCTCCAACATCCACGAGGATCAGGCTAGCTCCTTTCGGACAAGAGAGACCTGTGGGCCCTGCTTGGCCTTCCCCAGTCTGGGCTTCGGTCCAGGCATCTCTCTGGAGTTCCCCAAATCCCTGCGGAATAAGGGGTGGGAGGGACAGGGAGACAGGAAGGAATTAGACCCAGAACTCCATGGTGAGTCTAGAAAGCTGCAGGTGACTTGCAGGACAGAGGGATCAGAGGAGGCATGAGAAGGCGCTGAGGCCGGGGGCTTGGCAGAAGCACCTTTAATTTTCTCGCTCAGTGGCATAAAGCAAATCAATGTTGGTCATTTGCTAACTGCATTCATGATATTGATCACAACCTTATATCTTGTCCTATTAGTTCCTTAATTTTTTTTTTTTTTTTTTTTTTGAGATGGAGTCTCATTCTGTTGCCTAGGCTGGAGTTCAGTGGCATGGTCTTAGCTCACTGCAACCTCTGCCTCGTGGGTTCAAGCGATTCTTTTGCCTCAGCCTCCCGAGTAGCTGGGACTTACAGGTGTGTGCCACCACACCCGGCTAATTTTTGTATTTTTTAGTAGACATGGGGTGTCACCATATGGGCCAGGCTGGTCTCGAACTCCTGACCTCATGATCTGCCTGCCTCAGACTACCATAGTGCTGGGATGACAGGCGTGAGCCACTGCGCCCAGCCTAAAATCACCTTTAAAAAACCTAATTCAAGGATATTAATGCTCTTATGAATGGAAAATGAGTATCATTTCCTATAAAGCGATGGGAACCATAGAAAACATAAAAAACATAAAAACAAGCAACGTTATTAAGTTCTACCTAGAGATTTGCACACAGGACGCTATGAGCTTGGGGCCTGCCCTCTCTTTGTTAAAAAGAGAACAACTGTGTTCATAACTTTCTCGGTGTGTGTTGGCCTCGGTGGTAGCCACCAGCCACACGTGACTGTGTGAATTTGAATTAAAATTAAATACAGTGAAAGATGCAGTTCTTCAGCTGCGGTACGGAGGTTTCAGGTGCTCAGAACCACCTGTGGCTAGTACTGCCATATTAAACACTGCGAACCTAGAACGTTTCCATCATCACAGAAACTTCTATTGGACAGCGCTGCTCTAGAGCTGAATGGAACAGAGACTCAATCAGATCGGGATTTCCAGGCCCAGCACGGTGGCTCACACCTGTAATCCCAGCACTTTGGGAGGCCGAGGCAGGAGGATCATCTGAGGTCAGGAGTTCAAAACCAGATTTCAAGACCAGCCTGGCCAACATGGTGAAACCCTGTCTCTACTAGAAATGCAGAAGTTAGCTGGACATGGTGGCGCGCATCTGTAGTCCCACCTACTCGGGAGGGTGAGGCACTAGAATCATTTTAAACTCAGGGAGGCAGAGGTTGCAGTGAGCAGGGATAGCGCCACTGCACTCCAACTTGGGTGATAGAGCAAAATAAAAATGAAAAATAAATTTAAAAGACTAGGATTTCTCCCAGGACAAGGCTGTTCGTCCTCCATCAGCCTGGGGCTCTCCGAGGGTATGGCCTGTGTCTGCCCTCGTCTCTGACCTCACAGCTCTGAGTACAATCTCTGCCCAGAGACTGCACTCCTCACAACTCGGTTCCCCATCCCACTCAACTCCTATCTGAGCTCCAGTAACCTCACTGGAGAACTGAATCTGGGCCCTATTCTCCATCCACGGGCTGACCTCCCTGCCTGCCTGTCAAATGCCTGCTCCCTTCCTCTGAAGCCCCAAAGGCTGGCTCTCTTTGTCACCATCAGAACACGGAGGTTATGCAGTGCATTTCAGGAATTGAATCCTTGGCATTAGTTGTATTTAGCTCTGAGCCCTAGTCATAGGGGGTAAGGGGCCCAGGATGCCAGCTGTGCCCACCATGGTCTCCCCACAGTGACTGGGGGGCTGGGTAGCTGGCAGCCCTGGCAGGAAGGGCAAGGGCAGAGGAGGGGGCTAGATCCGGCCCCAGGTCTCTGCCCTTGGGGATGAGGCAGGCCACGATGAAGGCAGGACTCCCTTGCAATCTGTTCTTTTGCTGTGTGGCATGGCATCAGTCAGAAACCACCTGGCACTGGCCAGCAAAAAGCAAGGATGACTTTCCAATGGAGAAGATAGCAGGATGGAAGGAAGTGGGCCCAGGGCAGAGAGGCATTGCCAAGATGGATGACCCTCCAGGCACGTGACCTCCCACACCCCCGGGCCACAACCACCTGGTTCCTGGCTCTGAATGTGGCCCCATGATTAAATTACCCAGCATGCCTTTTGACACACCCGGCCTTTGCAGGTGCCCTTCCCTCTGCCTGCAGTGCCTTTCCCTTCACCTCCACTAACGTCTAAGGCTGTACTAGTTTCTGTTTTTGTTTTTGTTGAGGGGAGGAGGGGTTTGCCCCTTGCGGGAGGGGCCTAGGCCTATTTATATAATTAACACTTGAAGCGATGGGGAGGAAGGGGAGCTTTGTAGTGGTGGAAGGGGTCGGGGAGGGGAGCAGCGTCTGAGTACACCTCAAGTTGCCTTTCTGGGACTCAGTTTCTCCCATCTTTGGTGCCAGCACGAGGTCTCCCAGGCTCGTCTAGCTTGACTCAGGTTGAGTGCCTCAAGCCCAAGGCTCAGGTCCTACCTTGCCCACTGCTTACCTAAACCCTTCAGGTGCATACCAGGTACTCAATAAACGCTTTGGGGAGCGGAGTGAATGAGTGAATGACAAAAACATAAGAGCGCTTCCAGGAATACCAGAGATGGAGAAGGAGAGGAAGGGGGAGAGCGAAGTGAAGGCAAATGAGAAAAAGGAGAGAGCAGGAGTGGGGGGGGAGGAAGGTAACCACTGAGTGTCTGTTCCCTTTCCCATCTCCCTCTCTCCTTCCTCTTCTCCCTGCTCCCCACAGCTCCCCAGGGGAGCCCTCGCTGGGAGATGCCCTGCAACATCCCCTCTGCTGGGTCAGAGGTGGGCAGGAGGCATAGGATTGATGGGGACAGGGAGCCAGTCCCTGGGTATCTCAGCCCCCACAGCTAAGGAGGCTGAGCAGCACTTCCTGCAGCCTCCCTGGCCTGGGCCCAGGGCTAAAACAGATTCCCGGCCTGATAACCCCAACCAGGCCTGGGAAGCAAGCTGGCTCCAACCTTCTGTGCTCTTCAGGCCCAGGAAGCAAAAGGCCTTCACCCACCCCCAGCCTCCATGGTGGAAATTAGTGGGGATGATGGAGCGGGGTCCATGGTCTTGACCAAGGTCATTCAGCTGAGGTCTCCTCCTCTAGCCTGGGGGGATCACTCAGAGACCATGGGACATCCAGAAAGAGCTTGTCACTGGAAGTCACCTAATCCAAACCCTTCATGTCACAAATGGGGAAAGTGGGGCCCGAGGAGGGAAGGTGGCCTTTCCAGGGTCACCGGCATTTAGGAGCAGAGCCAAGCCTGGAATCTAAGCTTCTTGATGGGCAGCTCTGGACGCATCCACTTACTTTCTCCTTCGCTTGATTTATTCCCGCCTTCCTTCTTTCCTTCCTAAGATGCAA